TGAATAGTACGAGCCGAGCCGAGCCGACGAGCCGCTGGGCTCGATTGACATCCCTACTTAAAATGATCAAAATATATATATATTTTTTTTTGCAAAATATTGGTCAACTAACGGAAAATGGACGGTTTCCATCCATTTGGACCACAATTGCATATTTATGAAAAGTTAGGGACTTCCGCTGACACAAATTGAAGATTAAAATAAAATCTACAAAGATTGAAGAGGTTAGAGACCGCTGTTGTAATTTTCCCTAATGTTTTTAGTCAACTAACGGAAAAGTGAATGGATTCCATGAACTTGTCTTTTGGTCAAAAGGAATTATGTGCACAATTACATGTTTGCCCTCCTCTCTTCTTTTGAATTTGAAATTGTTGACAATCATACATTTGAAAACGTGAAAAATGAACAATATTTCGAAATCGGCAGGTACAGTGATGTGTACAAATGGAATTTTATTAACGTCAACATATATATCAATTTATTTCTCTATGTTCTTATTACACTACACGTGCAAATTATTGCACCGTTTGCCTAAAAATTATAGCGTCATTGTTGCTACCGTAAATGGGAAGTGCAGCAAAGAGGATATGGGCTTAAGATCTGTCAATGACGAAGTTGGGTATCCGACAAGGGAAGTCGATGGCAACTGGTCAACGACTCAGGCACGTTGGACGTGAAGCTGCTTTCTACACTTGCGAATGAGGGAGAATGGAGAAATGGGAAAGTGATTGTTAGAAAATGCTGGAAGGGTAGAATGCAGAAATGGAATTCTGCTTTGTCAAATTTGCACAGTTGTTGTCAGAATATTACTTCTCCAAAGTTTTTTTTTTTTCTACAAAGGCCAAAAAAAAGTGCCCCAAAAAAAAAGGCCAAAAAAAAGTGCCCCAGTAATTAATGCTTTTCCTGGAAAGTTGATAAACAAGCTCCTTCCACGAAGGTGCTCGGTAATCGTCAGTCAATGTTTACAATTTCACATGCTACAGCTTTCTTCCACTTCTTTAT